AACAGATTAAACAAAGAAATTTCATTATTATTAAATTTACTGAAGGTGATTACTACAGTAATGAAAGAGAATATCCTATTCTGAGGAAATAAAAACAAAGTATCTAGGGATAAAAGGCCTTGATGTATGTAACTTACTTTTAAGTAGTTTTTTTAAAAAATAACTGTGTGTATGCCTATGTAGAGGAAAAGAGGAAAGGGGAAAGAGAATTCACCTGTCACCCAGAGCTTGAATTCATTCAAAAATAGTTGACACATCATTTTTTATCCAATACTGGGCTATCTAAGGTAATTAAATTAATAATCTACCAAGTCAAAAAGGACTATAAGTAGGTATGGCAAGCAACAGAAAATCTGCAATACGATAAAGAGCATAAGCCCTGAACACATCTTTGGGTTTGACCTCTCTTTTTTTCTGTATCATGTTCTCTCCCTAACTATTGACTGTTAGTCAGCTTGTTGCATAATCCATAATTTGATCTTTGGGGAAATCTCCACTGATCTGAAGACACCCACCCTGCTATGAGGGGTGCCAGTGAATGACTTCATACAAAATTGTTTAACTCCCGTAAGTAAAATCTAGCACTATTGATTTGGCTTTAGACATTGTAGGATAGTGTTTATTTATGAACTTAGACCTCAGTGTCCAAATTCCAGCCCTGGGGTTTGCTAACAATGTGATCCTGAGCAAGCTGGTTAACCTGAGGTTTTTCATGTAGAAAACAGAGGCAAAAACAATACCCACCTCAGAATGTTGTTATAATAGATGTACACACACAAAAATAAGATATTAAAATGCTTTCTTTAAAAATCAGGTAGGTGTTTATTCCTTTCATTAAGACTTAGATAATTTCTGAAAATTACTTTGGTGTTAGAAATGATAATTAATTGCTTACTTCCAGCTTTCTTCTAGTATTTCTTAAATTGAGAGCTACCAATTATTGAACACATTTTAAAATTCACATCAAACTCATGCACTCAGAAGATGTTGAGGAAGCAAAACATTACCAAAATAATTTATTAAAAAGCCAAGCTTTTCTTCAACAAGTAAATTACAGGGGGAAAAAAAGGTGGATGGGAGCTTATAAATAGATTTAAAAGACATCAACCAACTGCAAAATATAACTTACTTAGATCCTGACTCTAACAAATTATATATATATGGCATAATACATACAGATATATAAACACACACACTAACTTTTGAGTACTGAGTATCTGAATTAAGGAATGATTATTATGTTAGGTATAATAAGCATACTTTTAAGTATTTTAGAAAAAAACACCGAACTACATATTGATGAAATGGTATGATTTGGAATTTGTTTAAAAATAATGGGAAGGAGCAGTAAAGACAAAAATGATTAACTGGTAACTAACTGTTGAAGCTGGGTGGTAAATACATAGGTAAATGATGTAATTCTGCTTTTGTCTGTTTAGAATTTTCCATAATAAAATGATTTTATTTTTCTTTTTAAATAAAGAAATTCAAAAGAAAGTCGGGAACAGTCACTTATTAGCAGGGATAATAGGGAAATGAGTTCAAAGTTTATTACAACAAAGACTGGAATAAAGCAGGAGAAAAGTGTAAAACTGAAAGAAGACTGGAACAATAAATACATTTTGATGTTTAAGGGGTCCCAAAGAGGGAGAACAATGTGGAACAAAACTCACAATCATTTGAAAAAAAAAGGACCAGGTTTGCTGGTCTGACAGAGGCTGATGGAACCACTGAGACTATGCTCCCTAGTTGCCCTTCAGGTCTGGAATTGAACCCACTCTTGTGGCTTCCAGCCAAGTAGATGACAGGCATATGAGCTGCACATTTACATTAGGTAGAAACACTCCTTGGAGAGATAATGGGAGAATAGAAGGGCTGTGTATGCACAGGGAGACAGCTTGGAAGCCAGAAGTGCATGGGAGGGAAGAGTGAACTATGGAAAGGAAATGAGAGGGAAGTTCTTGCATTGTAGTAAATTGTAGTCAATGTCATGAGACAAAGTGTATGTGAGCTGATGGATGGAAAGTGAATTTGCTCTGAAAACTTTCACCCAACTCATAATAAAAATTTAAAAATAATAAAAAAAAGAGGTTCCAAAGAGTTAAATATCCAAAATTTACATACTTTAAAACTATTTCTCTTATGCTCCCAGAACTTTCTTTTCAATTCCAAACCCGTTATTCTTGACCCTCATTGACCATTATTTTAGCTGTGTATTTCTGTCCCTCACTTTTCCCTCATTCTTCTTCCTTTCCATTATTTTCTTCTCATCTTCATATACCTATTTTCTTTCTATTTTCATTTTCAATTACAAACTTCAGACTAGAATAAATAAAGCTGAAGCAATTAAAAGAATAAATAAACTTAAGACAAAAACTGGGGGTATACTGGTTTTAGCCACAGCCATATTACTTTCAGTATGGAAGATCCCTAAACCATTACATTTCAACATTCATTAGTTGTTTCCTTGCAAAACAGCCCAAACTACGTTACTGGGTACCCATACTAGAAGTACTATTTCTTTAAGTTCCATATTTTTATGCAAATACTCACTATATAATTTTATGCAAACTGTGCAAATCCCTGCACATTCGTTTCCTAATGTTATGTGCATTATAGGTGTGCATATATGTGGAAAATATGATATATAAAGCATTTTATGAATAATTTGGACAGATTTATTTAAACCTTGAACATTCAAACCTATGCCCATTAATGCAGAGTGGAAAGAACATTGGAGTCCAAGGTTCTGTGTTCTTGTCCAGGCTATGCCAACTACCAGTTGAGTTCATTCACTCAATATCTGGCCATCTAATACATACCAGGCACTGGGGCAGATACAAAGATGAACATAACAATTATATAAGTAAACAGTTACAACATATTTTGATAAGTGCTATAAGGGACATGCATAAAACTTATAAAGGCACAAAATATGTAATTCAAGTTAGATTAGATGATCTTTCAGTTCCAAAATTCTACATAGTCTAAATTCTTTCAAGACTGTTTTAATTAAAAGGAAGTATCTACGGTTGCATTTTTCTACCAAAAATGCTGCCAAAGTACTGTAAAATTTCTAATAAAAATAGCTAACATTTACTGAGTACCTACTATGTGCCAAGGACTAGGGACTTTCCATATACTGCCTCACTTAATCCTCACAACAATCTCAAGCCAGAAAAAAATTATGACCATATTACAGGTAAAGAAACAGAAGTTCAAAAGGCTAAAATAACTTACCCAAAGTCACACACAGAGTAAGAGGAAAATAAGGATTTGAATTCAGATCTTCTGATTCCAAAGCCTATTCTCTTTCCACTACACTATTTGTCTCTCATTTTCTTTCTCTACATAAAAACAAAATTTCCAGAGATCACCTTTTTAAGAGCACCCAAAAGAAAAAGTCTAAATCATGCAGGAAGTACAAAATGATGACTTTAAGAAGCCTTTTTCTCAACCAGAAAATCTGTTCTACACAACCTCTAAAACAAGATAAAGATTACAAAACTTAAATACAGTCAATAAACATGTGTGACACTAGTAAGTATGTACTGAAAACTAGCTGAAAAAATAAGTGAGTTTTTAAAATTTCTTTCAACTATTTTGTCTTTATCCTATTTGGTTCCCACACAAACTACTAAGGAGGGAATGCCCATGACTATTTTAAGTGTTTTAACATACTGGATGCCATATATATTATTTAAATACACATACTACAGGGTGCAGGAATACAAAATAAAACGCACGTGTAATGCTGTAAAAAATGTTTTCTAAGTAGAATGCAACACAGGCTTACTAAGCCTAGAATCTAACCATAACAAAAATGTAAACCAATTTTGAAGTAATGTAAATCATGCGTTTATTTTTCTGTGTAAACTTTCTTAAATTCTTTTTTTGTAAACTTTTTCCAGGTTATCAATTTTAATCTCAGTCTGAACATCCCTGAAATATAAAAGTTCAACCTTTACACAAGAGTGAAAAAAAATTGTGCACGATTCCACAGCTGGTTAGAAAAAAAATCTGAATCAACATAAATCGCTTCGGAAATTCTTCGGATTAAAGTTTTTTTTTTTTTTTTTTTCTTCCAAGTTCACTTCGGACAAATTTTAAGATTAAGAAAAATTACTTTAAGGCAGTCTTCACTGTCTACTTCAATTACAGACTTTGTAATAGCAAAAGTCACCTCATTCGCAATTACCCCAAACAACAAAAGAGCTAACTGTTTCAAACGTCCTAAAGGATCCAAGTGTGTGATATACATATTTACTCATTTTAACAGAAGGGGCCCAAGCTAGGAATGAACACAAAAACACTACCGTTCCATATTCACGATTCCTGACGAATTTGGAAATAATTATTACGGCCATTTATGCCCTCTGTCTCACAAGGGTGACATTTTCTTTGCTTTCATATCCGCACAACGCAGGCAGAAAAACAGGGATCCGCAAAAGCAACCGCTGGATCGTTAACATTCCCCTTTTAATTCCAACTCCCCCCCTCTCCCAGTCCCAAATACAAACATGCTCTTCTTTCCAAGCTTCTTGCACAACGTCTCAAGACGCGATGGGAATGGTTACTCCCTCCTTCGTGCTCCCTCACCACTGCTTCCTCCGGCTGTCAGGCCTAGAGCGGCCTCGGCAGCCTAGCGCGGAGGGGGAAGGGGCCGCCATGGCCTAGCGCAAAGGGCTGTTCGCGTCCCTCGACCCAGTGCTACGGCGTCAGGCGGTTCTTCCCGAGGCAGGTTCCTAGCAACGATGCCTCCTGGGCAGTGAGGGGAATAAACGCGGTAGCGCGACAGAAGTGCTTCCCTTCCCATCCCAGAGGCCACCCAACCTCCTCCCGCCCCCGCTGTCTGCCCGCCGCCATTTTGTGAACAGCCGCTGCGACACAGATACAATAGTCGGCTCGAATCTCACAGGAAAGGCTCAAGACCCGCACGTTATGGCCTCCCGCCTCCCAGCCCCTACTCCCCACAAAGCAGTAGTCCTACCTATGGCTACCCGACTAAAGCCGAATCCCATAAGCTCCCCGTAAACTTTAGCGCTCAGCCTCCAGTCTCGACGCTGAAGAAGCTACCGCCTCTCGAGAGCTTCACGCATGCGCGCCTATCAAGCTTTTACGAGCCGTCCTCTATTCTCCGCGCGTGCGTGCCGCCGGCACCGCACTCACTCGGAGCCACAAGAATAGGGCCAAAGGTTTTAGGGCTGGCAGAGGACGCTCCTGATGTGTCAGGTTCCAACCAGCCTACCGCATAATACAAGCATCCATAGCAATGCAATATCTTTACCTTTTCTATGCCTATCCTGTCCAAAATTATGCACATCTTTTAAAACCTACATTAAGTGTCACCTCCTCCATGAAGTCTTCCCTGATCATTCTTAACTTCAATAACCAAAACCAAACCCTTATGGTCCAGTCGTTCAGACTCATGGCAACTCCGTATGTTACAGAGTAGAACTGCTCTATAGTTTTCTTAGCTATAGTCTTTACAGAACAAGGAACTGTGGTCGTGCAGTGTTTAAAAGCATCGGTTGCTAGCCAAATGGTAGTCAGTTTGAAACCACCAGGCGCTCAGCACTCTGATAAGGTAGTGGGCTTCCCTGAAGATTTACAGCCTTGGAAACGCTATGGGACAGTTCTACTCTGCCCTATAGTGTCACTATGAGTCGGAATCCACTCAAGGGCAGTGGCTTTGGGTTTGTTTAATCTTTACAGAAGCAGATGATAAGGCCTTCTACTGTGTAGTTAGGTGGGTTTGAACCTATATTCCTTAGGGTATGGGCGAGTGCAAATAGTTTGTGCCACCCAGGGACTTCTTGCCTTCAAGAACAACATGAAAATAGGTAATACTCACCTAGAACTTGATATTATGATGTTTTGCATCATTATTAAAATTTTGTTTCCTTTATGCACTCACCTCATACTTTTTGCATTCCTATAGTAATTATTTGATATATATTACAGCCATTCAAAAATGAGGAAATTAGAATTCAATTAAACCTTACTGAGCTAAAAGCTGAACACTGAAAATTCTTTTATATGTCATTTCACATGGTTTGCTTTTGCACTGAACTGGTGGGAGAAAAAGGTAACACTCGGCTTCCATAAGTTTACAGCATTGGACACCGTATGGGACAGTTCTACTCAGTTCTGTAGGATCGCTATGAGTCAGAATAGACTGGATGGCAGTGGGTTTGATTTGGACTACTAACCTAAATTAGGTTGGCAGTTTGAATCCACCCAGTGGTGCTGTGGAAAAAAGCCCTGAGATACAGAAAGATTACAATCAAGAAAACCCCATGGAGCAGGTCTAGTCTGTAACACATGTGGCCATGATGAATCAAGATCAACTAAATAGCAACAGGTATACCTGTGTGGTAGATATTTTTAACCCTCATTTTACCAAAAAAAAAAAAAAAAAA